CCAGTATTTGGATGCGTGAATCAGGACTAAGAGGGATGAGTTTCCATAATATATCCACAAAACTGCTCAATTTGTCCTCCTTTCAATTCCATGTCAATGTCACCACGATGTTTGACAATGACGGAGCAGGTGCTGAGCAGCTGCTGCTTAGTCCCTAAACTTGAAAACTCTCTGCTTAGCATGTGTCTCCATCTGCTTCCAATTCCTGACATAAGTTCTATACGCTAATTCTTGCATATTAATTAAGCTTTTCTTTTTAAATAAATAAATAAATAAATAAAAACGAGAATTTCTTCCCCAAACTGACAATCAGCTAAGCTTCCCGGCCTAAAAAGATTGAATCACTTTTGCAGTAAAGGATGTCCCTGTTGAAGGACTGTAAATCATTCCTGTTCTTACTGGAACAGTGAAAAACAAGGTCACAACTTGCCTTTTTACCTGTGTGTGTTTTTAACCGTCTCGTGTTGAACCTGAACTATTAGAAACAGCAGCCTTGACATGAACAAAGAATGTTTACTTTAAAAAAAGAAGAGGAAAAAGGCAAGCAGCTTAATCTTGCCTTTAAGCTACTCCCTGCTTTTGTCCTAATTTCTTGGAGTGACAGGGCCCAGNAGCTCATGGCTGCTGCTGTGTTGCAATATTTTCAGGGGAGAGCTTATTTTAGTGCATGCACTCAAAAGCCCGATTGGGCTTGTTATCTGGGGAAGACCTGTTTTGGGGGAATCCGGGTAGTGCATCAGTATTAGGAAGTGACAGATTTCCCACCATGGCTTAACGAAAGGTGTCTTAACTAAATGGAAAAATATTGATTTGATTAATAAAGACTGCTTACCACATCTTCTTCAGTCCATTCACCGATATCAAATGATGGCAGCAACTGTGTAAGAAATATGCATTTAAAAGTGCAGTTTCTTTCATTCTTTTTGTCTCTATTTCTTCATATTCTCTTAGTATAGAGTTTTTATTTAGCAGATACTTTGCAAATTTTGAAGATTGAACTGATACGTTACCGATAAAAAGATGACACGTCCCCTTTTCTGAAACAAAGTCCTTCCACATTCAGCCAAGTTATTTATATTCTAACTCATTTTGGGTGACTTGGGTGACAAGTCCACAGATTTGTTTGCTTTATTTTTTTACATTTATTTGCCAGATCAGAACTTTAATGGATGCGACTCTGTGCGTATAAGAACCTCAAAAGTGGAGTAAACCAAATTATCTTAAGTTAGCTTTTAATTAATATGTCAAGTTCTAATTTGAACTTTAAACTTAGACAAATTCTAATTTAGGTTTGCAAACTTAGTATTGAGGAGGCTGTTTGAGAATCGCTTTTCAATTTTGTGTGAGTTATGTAAATTGTAATGAATGGTTAGTTGATTGCCTGTTAAATATCCTGCAATGATGGAGAACGTCATTCAAAATAAATGAACACTTAGGACTTGAGGCTCAGTTCTGAAAACTACTGCACGCTAGTGATCTGATGGGGAGCAGAAAGATTGTGCCACTGAGTTATTAATTTGTTTTTATTTATGAAATGTTTATACTTCCTACTTATAGTTTAAGTCCAGACAGTTCACAACAACAGATTGTTAAATAAGTTGAGACTGAATCAAGAGGGAAAAATCGAGTAAGATCACCAGTAACTGAGTAAGATTATGAAAAAAGATGGATTTTACTGGTTTCCTGGTTGTGAACTAATCCATGGTAAATGTAATAAAGGTAGTCCTTGATTTACAACAATTCATTTAGTGACCGTTCAAAATTANACAAGCTCAGCTTCTTAGAGTGGTACCGATTCTGAGTGAAAGCAGTTTTACAGGCAGACTATAAAATGGCAGATCTTCTGGTTAAATAAGATGGATGATGGTGAGGGCAGGCATTATCTGTTAAGCTATGGTCCTGCTCCATGGTGTCTACAGAAATTTAATACAAGTAGTTTTATAACACTGCCCAAAGTGATTGGCGTTTGAACTCTGATTCACCAACACTTTGCTTCCCCTAAGATTTTAAAACATGATCAAGATTACTGTTTGCAAACACAACTATTTTTTTGCATATATTTTCAATTCTTTCCTTATCTATAGGTCTGTGAGAACAGATTTTTGGATTCCTCCGTGTGGGTTTTTATTTTTTGCAAGGGTAAAGAACTCCAACTATTTCCCATTCTCTTTTATTCTCAGTACATTGTAGCTATGACTTAGTATATCAATGCTCATAACCAGAGGTTTATAACGACAAGCTGCACATGTGTTGTGCAAAACAGTACAAGAAAAACATGTATGAATATATGTACTAATGGTCATAAATACATACTTAAAATCTCATCAATCTCATGAAATATTTTTGTATGCAATCATTTTTATTTTAGTAAATCTGGAATTACATTTGTCAGATTGTCAGATTTAGACTCAGATACTAGGAACAAGCTGTTCTTTTTCATAACTTGATGATCACCCAAAGTTTGCAATTCAGGTACCTTCAAATGAATGATGTGTCCTTTGGAAACAATTCCCATGTCCTTCAAATCATCTTCTTCCAGAAGAAGTAAACGTTTTCCTGTGATGTGATGCTCTTTAAACAAGCTAGCATATATACTCATATCGCCAGATGAATCACCTTAAGATCATAAGACATTGTTCAAAAATCTGGACATAGAAAGATCAAGTTTTGTGAGCTGCATTTCTCTTTCAAAGGGCTTTGGGTTCTACTAGTACTGATGGTATTACCCAATTTGGTTAAAGAAACATCACCAAGAAAACAACCAGGCTCAGAGAGCATCAAGGAATCCCCCTCCCAAACCTCATTTCAACCCTGACCTACATATATTCTTCTTTACTGACTTTGGGGTCTTGCTGTAGCCTAAAAAAGACTCCATTCTCTGTGACCAAGTGATTTATATTTCCAACATGAGAACAGCAAGAGGCAAGCCTGTACCAGCCNCATGTGAGCACGAGCATACCGGTAGCTTCGGGATTTGCAACCCACCTCTGCTGCACACTGAGAGTTTTCGGTTTTGTACCAAAGTGCTTACACTGTGCACAGGAAAAGTTCTATGTGAGTCTGATAGAACAAGTTTTGTACCTTGCTGCATTGTAATTACATTTTTACCATGAAATGAACAGAGAGAGGAGTTGTGTTGCAACGAAGAAGTATCTTGTGAAGATTTTAAGGACAAATTAATTCTGCTTCAGAAGGAAATAAGCAAAAGGAAATGTTCATTTATTTACCTGAGGACCTTTTCCAGGTTTTAAATGGTAGCCAAAAACAAGCTCCAGATTCAGCACTTTCACCTCACTGGCCTCATTTTCACTGGCAGAATCCTGAAAGAACAATTAGTCATTCTGGTTCACCTCAAGCATCCTTTGTTTCAAATTCAAGACAGTGCTATTATTTGAGTTGAATATTTCACCATTTTGCAGAGTCTGGCTCAATTTAAATCCTGAGCGTAAGAAACCATGTTGTGTTATTCAGGCTTTAAAAGCAAGCCTGTAAATCTCTAAGATATTCCCTATGCAGCAGGGCCAAAGGTGATCAGGAATCCCAACAGGGAAATCCAGAATTGTGCACCTGGAAGGCAATCTCACACATTAAGTCGTGATCTTCCTCTTTTCTCATAGGGAATCCCATAAAAAATCTCAAGAAGTTGAAAAGTTCCACAAAACATTGTCTACTGCATCTGCACCCCTATCAGTGGGTGGCAGTTGAACCAAATAGTCAAAACCTGGAACTATAAGCTAGCAATGCAAGTTTATATGAAAATTTAATAATAAATTGACATAATATAGTATTGGGTTCCAGTCTATATTGATGGGCCTGGCACTCTTTGACCCAGCTGGATCAATACTGTCCATTTTCTGCCAGTATCGGTATTTTCTTTCCAATGAAACAAGAGTATAGAATGATTTAAGAGTTCTCCAATAGCTACAACCAAATGCAGACTCTTCTCAAGGTAGTTAAGCCCGAATATGTTTTTACACTTGGCCGATAGCAGTAGCAAATATTAGTATACATTTTTCCCATGTATTTCCCGTTTAATCAAAATAGAATACTTTATTTGGCCAAGTGTGATTCGACACCCAAGGACACACCCTACTTACCTTAATCAGGGGTGGAAAATGAAACATATTGAAGAAATCCTGACACAGCTTCTCAATGGCAGTCTAAGAAGGGAAGAACATAGAAAGTTAAACACAGGACATGGCTGCAAACAATTTCTCATGTAGAGCTCTCATAAAATATTCAACTTTTTTTGGCGGGGGGGAAACAAAGCACTTTCTGGGCAGTCTCTTCCTAAAGCACCATTTTATTCTTTCTGCTGCTCAGCAATTTTACTTGTTGGTGTTGGAGAGCTGATACATGATCAGCCTTAAGTGGCGGATGAAGTTTTGCAATGGTGACTGAAATGCAGGCTAGCTGTCAGAACCAAGCATCCAAACCTGGTTGGGTCTTAAAGC